GCTCTAGTTGTTATTTGGTATTGATAATCATTCCCAAAACGATGATGCATTCCTTGACCTAGTTGTAATACTCTGAGAAGTCCATTGTCTTCTTCAGTAGTGCTTCCTAGGAGTTCTAAACTCTTCTAATTATTGTAGGATGGATGAGACTGTGTTGGTTCTTGGTAGAGATTCTCTAACATTCAATATTATATCCTTGTATGAAATCATCCTGTCACTTATGGCCCATACCAAAGATGTTATATCTTTGAAGACTAGTAACTCTCTGAGTAGTTGATGGATCTGCTCTATTCTACTTCCCTGACCTAACTGAAGGTCTCCTCTCCTATATAAGGGTCAGGGATAAAAGATTGGTATGGTATATAGAGTTTCTAAAACTATAAGTGGTACACAGTAACCCGTCACATAGGTACCTAGAATTGGTAAAATAAAGGTAAATGTATTATGAAAAATAAAAGTTCAATATAATATTATCATGGTATTATATGAAAGGGAGAAAGGATAGGAAATCTCATGAGGGGTATAGTTATTTAGCTAAAATTCCATAAGAGCAATATGAAAAAATAATATTATAAACCAACAAAAATAATTCTTACAAATGAGTAATAGTAGATAATCTTTGGTCCTAGAATGAGAAATGTGAACACAGGAATGAAAACTTTGTGTAGTTTTTATTTTTCTGTATGCCTCTGGACAGTTTTATGAAATTCAAACTCCAATCTTCAGGTTATACATGTCTGGAATATGTATAATAAGAATAAACAAAAAATAAAAAAGAGAAAAGTAATAAGAAAGATTGTAAACTGACAAGTAAGCATTAACAATAAATGAGTGATATAATGTAAAATAAGCAAAGATAAATAAAAACAATACGAAATGAATAAGAGTAGAAAGAAGGTGATAAATAAAAGAAAAAGAAAAAGATAAAGAGAATGAAAAAAACAAACCTGTTCTGATAATAATATCTAGTATGCCTACTGTTGTGGCATATACAGCAGTAACTCACTCAGGCATTCCCTGAATTAGACACTTCAAATTGTGCTTGTTAATCCTTGCCTATTCATCAATTATTACCCTACACAGATGGTAGTTAGTTTGAGGACAGAGAATCTGATGATTAATCCGACTCCTGATAAGGTGTCAAACGTCTTGGATTAGATTGATATCAAGTGAACAAGCAGTCCACAGAAGTAGTGAGTTAAAGAGACCTTTTTCTTCGTAGACATATTTTGAATATTTGGAACAATGAGGAGATGCGTCATCTTGCTGGATATAAACATAGTTATCACTGGTACGTGACATGTCATTTCAAAACCTTTCAAGATGAGATACAATATGTGTACAGAAACCAGGAAACTTGATTGTATTCTCCATAGTTTCATGGTCCCAAATGACTAAAGGTCCTTTTTGATATCCAAAGAAACACCCTCAGACATGGATGGTTTCAAGATTTTGGAAGCGTGGGACTAGGCAACTTTTCTCGTATTCCTCCCCAGGCTGGCAGGTAATATATACTCGACTTGGGGAACCACCAACATTAAATGCACAGTCATCTGTCCAGATAACCTTCTTCCAATTACCAACCCTTCAGGTGCGAAACTAGTCTGTCCATTCCTTTCGTGCCTGTAAATAATCAATATTAGTATTCTTTTCCTCTCTATAACCCAGAATTCTGAATTAAAGCAAAACCTCAAGTTATAAAAAAATAAACAAATATGCAATAGAATCTACATACATTTATATACATACTTATACCAATTAGGATTTTAATAATATAGAAAAGTACCAAAAAATTTAAATTTAAACAAAGTAAGAAGCATGAAAAAGAATTTGAAGATAGTAGGAAAGAAAAAATAAAAATGAGCAGAAAGGCGACCCAAGGTGTTCCAACTTTAACTGAATACAAAATACAAAATACAAAATAAATGAAAAGACTAAGAGTCTGTTAGATTCAATAGTTCCATTCCGTTCTCACATACAACCGGCTCTCTCTCTTCTGTTTCGAAACAGAGAAAAGACTCTTTTTACAGCAGAAGTAGTTGTCTAATGGAACGGTCCAATTCTTGCCAAACAGTCCATAAGAGCGGGTTAGGCAAAAATAGGACGGCTCCTTTGAGTGACTGTTTCTGCTGTAAAAGGTGATTTCTCTCCATTTCGAAACTCAAAAGAAACAGCCACTTGGATCGGGGCCAGAATGGAACTGTACTAGTAGAATCCAAACAGCCATTAGGAACCTGTTTGGCAATAATCATTCCGTTCAGTTCCCTGATAAATAGGAACCATTTTTGAGTGTTTCAAAATAAAAGCACAACTTTTTTATATGCGAAAACTATTGAAGAACAGAATGGCTGACCTGCCTTTGGGTCCCTCCAAATAGGCTCTAAGAGCCTGTTTGGCGAAAGCACCCAGTTGGCCAATTATACTGCTTCACAACAGTTTTCGCATATAAAAACAGTTGTCTTTCCGTTTTGTAACGGTCAGAAATGGTTACCTTGTATAAGGTACCGGACCTGGCGAGAACGGTTATTGCCAAACAAGCCCTAAGAGACAGATGAGGAGGATGGAGGAAGGCAGCAGAGACAAAAAGGTACAAAGGGGGGAAAGGTTAAGATGCTAGGAGAATGGGGAGGTGGCAGGCAGGAAATATTGTAAAAACTCGAATACAAGAGTTGTGTGGTATGTCGTTGTAATTGCCTCTAGTAGTCAGGCACTATATATTTTTCTTTCTTTCGCCGCAGCTTAAGTCTGAGTTTGCGGTGACTTACCTACGTCTCTCCCAGAGAGAGGATTTCAATGACATAGCACAACACTCCTATATTCGAGTTTTTAGAGTAGGAAGGAAGAAGGAGCAGGATAATGAGAGGGGCGGGAGTAACCGGAGGAAGAATTAGAAAGAAAATAAGAAAGAAGTGTGTAGATATAGCGGGAGAAAGTGTAGAAAAGAAAGCCAAAAAGATAATAATCCCAAAAGGCAAGTCAAATCACAAGTTTAACAGGCAGCGTAACTGTTCAAAGGGGGAAAAAAAAGACAAGTTTAAGAATACTCAGATGCAAACTAATAATTGGGAGGGTGTGACAACCAAAAGCTGTGATTGCAATATAGATATCAATGTCAATTAGTTCAAATATTTAATTTGTGTATAAGGAGTTAAAGAGCAGAAGACTTACAATTTTATTCTTAGGGGATAACCAAGGTTTTTTCTGAGCTACTCGGCAATTATAGCCTTCAAGTGCTAACGATCATTGAAGTCTTTGTGAACTGGCTTTAATGCCAGCAAGGAAGACAATCTCAGAAAGTGGGTTGTGGCGGTTAATTGCAGAAGAGGTTGTAAGCATAATAATTTGTTTGCGGGCAGGAGAAGAGAGCAGCCAGTGGTGGCCACTATTGTGAGAAAGTTTCTGTTGGGTTCGAATAGGATGGGCAATTCGGTAAACACTTGTCAGTGATAGACTAGTTGTAGCTGCTATACGCCAGTAGCTTCAAAGGCCGACATAGTGCAAAGTGCAAACCTGAGTCCTTAGATTTTATGAAATCTGAGCACCACTTTGATGCAGGGTCTTTAGGGCAGTAGTTGCTAAACTCCCTAGGGTATGGATATAACTGGGAGGAGTGATTTGTTCAAATGGCGCAGAGATAGTATTGAAAGAAGCTATCGTAGGGTTGAAAGTAGGAATATTTTGTAGAGTTGGGGAAGGGCTATTTATATTGGACTCTGATAGTGTAGATGGGTAGGAAGAAAATGACCGATCAGATGGAAGTACTTGAATATGGTGGGTAGAATACTATCTGCTGCTAGGAACTGAGAGGTTCATTGAAAGAGCATAGCTTAGACTTCAAGTGATTGGTGCCATGAGATATGAAGCTTGATTTGAATAAAGATACTCTCATGATATAACTTGAAGATTTTGCTATATTGCCTTCTTTATCATACTCACTGTCTACTATATATCTTGTATAACATTAAAGTAAATTATTTCCAGTTCGCTTTGCCAACTTTTCATATGTCATCTTTCATCATAGTATTTCACTTACTTTTATTCTTGTTTTTAGACTATTCTTTAATTACCTTTTTTTCTGCAAAGTTTTCTTGTTTTCTTACCTCGCCGATAAAATATACATATACATCACAAATCACTTTTCTTCTCCTGACCCTTGTATCCTGTGAACAGAATCCTGTTGGACAGATGGTAGTGATGTATATAGTGTTATTCTGACACCTTCAATTCTGTGGCATTATAGTCACAGGACAATACTAAGATAGATATATGTGATGATGTGCAGGCCCTATAACAGGGCTGGAGGGATGTGCTGGAGAACAGAGATTCCAGTTCCGAGTGGGGTTACCCTACTTAGAGTGGTTCCTAGGTATCAGATCCTGGTATTCCTAACAAATGTGCACAGTTTAGGTTGTCCAAGGCAAGTTCAATGCATTCCTTGGTGGTAAAACTTTGCTTATTGGAAGACATTGTGAAAGAGGAATTGGTAGAATAGTTTGTTTACTAGCTAGTAGATACCCAAGGTCTTTTCTTGTATATAAATCTCTCCGTTGATGATCATTTCCTCTAATAGCTAAATCATCCTGAAAACCAGTTTTTTGTTTTCACTCCAAGACACTTGTTTCGCGACACTATGTGTTTCGGCTCACCGCGGGTTATGTTAATTTACTGTAGTCTACTTTCGTAGTGTCGAAGCGTTTTTAAAAAGGACTGCTATTGCATACCACCAAGATCCAAGCAGAATGGCCAATTTTTGGGGGTATGCAATAGCAGTCTTTTCTAAAAACGCTTCGACATTACGAGTACCGGTAGGCTATGATATCATAATTGGCTGCGGAATAAATTTGCCGGCACTCGAGTATGATATGACACTCCCGCGCCATGTTATGACGCCACACCTCTAACCGGGTAACCCCCCACGGTCAACAAGCTCTTCTCTCCGAAACACCCCACATCCATCGTCACACCCCCAATTGACCCTTCACGACTCAATTGCATATACAATGGCCCGTAACCTATTCATTTACCGTCCTGGAGCCTCCTCAACGGCGTGGGTCTGTTCCAACTGCCGCCCCCGCCCAATGCGCAGATCCCGTTGTTTTTCCATAAAACCTGACCTCCAACCTCCACCGTCGGCTCCCAAGCCAACAATAAGTGTCAAGTCAATTCGCGAGTTCCCAGAGTACCATCGCCAGAACTGCCTGAACCGGAATTACCCCTCGCTCGCGGATGCGCCCGAGCGGATAATTGCTCTTCATGGAGAGTGGATAGGACTGCAGAAGGGGTTGAGGGGGGACAAGGAACGTCAGAATACGCTCTCGGCGCAATTGCGTTCTAGGAATCCGCTCGCGCGTGGCCCGCACGGCGGGGGAGATAAGACGGAGGTTGCCGCCGAGGGACAGGAAGCGAAGAAGAGTCTATTGGCTGAGGCGAAGGACGTAAAGGCTAAAATATCGGAGGTGGAGGAGAGGGAGAGAGTTTTGGAGAACGAGATGAAGAGTCTTGCTATTCAATTACCTAACTGGACGCACAAGGAGTCGCCGATCGGGACTGAGCCGAAACTCCTCGGGTACATCAACCCCGAACTTGCCCCCCCATCGCAGCGAACCGGTCCTCGGATTTCGCATATCCAGATTGGCGCGGAGTTGGGTTTGTTGGACTTTTCGGCTGCGGGGACGGTTTCTGGGTGGGGGTGGTATTATCTGCTTAACGAAGCAGTGCTGTTGGAGCAGGCATTAGTCAATTATGCACTTTCGTTCGCAATGAAGAGGGGGTGGAAGTTGGTTACTCCTCCGAATATTGTATATTCGCATATGGCTGCGGCATGCGGATTTCGTCCGAGAGATCAGCATGGTGAGCAGCAGATATACACACTTGACGGGGCAGAGGGGAAAATTGAACACTGCCTTGCGGGGACGGCCGAGATCCCATTAGCTGGGATGTACGCAAACAAAACCTTTGCGGAAGACCAACTCCCGGTGAAATTGGTAGGAGTCGGGAGAGCTTATAGAGCGGAAGCAGGAGCGCGGGGGGCAGAGAGCAAAGGCCTCTTCCGAGTCCATGAATTTACAAAAGTAGAGCTATTCGCCTGGGGGCCACCCGGACAAGAAGAGTTCTCCACCCCCAATAGCGAACCCATCACCGCCACTGTAGCTACGGGGAATTCTGGACCTGCTTCCACCACCACTACTACCATTGAGGAAGCCCCACCCATCATGAAACCCACCAACAAGATCATAACCTCTGCTTCCCTCTTTGAAGAAATGCTCGACCTCCAAAAATCGATAATCTCCTCTCTCGGCCTCCACGCGCGCATTTTGGAAATGCCGACAACAGACCTGGGCGCCTCCGCCAGCCGCAAGATCGACATCGAAGCCTATATGCCCTCGCGCGAGGCCAAGGACCCCTGGGGCGAAATCAGCAGTCTGAGCAACTGCACCGATTACCAGAGTCGTCGGCTGAACACCCGTGTCAAGATAGCCAAGCCGGGTGCTGCCGGCGGAGTCAAGTCCGAGTTCCCGTGGACGCTGAACGGGACGGGGGTGGCGGTGCCTAGGGTTCTTATGGCGATCTTGGAGAATGGGTGGTCGGAGGAGAGGGGCGGGGTTGTTGTGCCGGAGGTTTTGAGAGGGTATATGGGTGGGTTGGAGCTCATTGGGAGGAAGAAGTAGGTGGTGAGGAAAGGGAGAATTGTACCATGATGTTTTTTTTTTACCTTCTTTTTGCTTCACTATTTCTTTTATAGTCGGGTTCGGCTTTGGGGAGTTATCTTAATTTACCTTTGTGAGGCGGATGGGGCGGGGCGTCAGTCAGTCAAACCGATAGATAGGATGTAAGCTCAATTAGATTTGTACTGCTCCCTCTGGATATTCAGCAAGCTCTTACTAGAAATTCTCGGCGAATTCTGCCATTCGGTATCATACAGCACCCCAGGGTCCGCGGCGTGAACCCTCGAGCGATTGATTACGGTAGGACACAATCCCTTTCCACTCGTATAACCCCTGCCCACCCCCCCCCCCACATTCCATTGCACGATTCGTAAAGAACAAGTCATATTATACGATACCGGTATCAGCATATGCCGCACCTGAAACCAGCCAGATACATATTATCACAGGGAATCACTCGCAACCGCCCCTTCTCTAGTGTAACCGGATACCTGTATGTACGAGTACTTGTGACGGGCCGAGATAGCGGTGAAATGGGAAAAATACCACGAGCGTCTAACGGTCCCCCCGAGTACCGGTAGCTTAAATAACCGGGAGAGAAAAGAGAGAGAAAGGAAAGGTATTCCCTCTCCAAGCGTGGAAGAAGCTTTCCAGGATACAGCGGTGCTTTTATCAATATTTGGAGTAGAGTGGCACAATGCTCGAGTTCTCTAGACTGCTTACTACTTGCCGTCCAAACTTTTGGGTTGTGCGGCCGTTACTGGTTTGTTGGTTGGTTGGTCGGATCTTGGGAAGCCTGGCCTGCGGGGCGCGGTCGCTGGGAGATTGGTGTTTTTAGATGTTGCTTTGTTTTGTTGTATGGGAAGAGCTGCTGTGGGGAATAATGATTTAGAAGGGGGGATGATTCCCGGTAGGGATGGGTTGTGCGGTGAGGGGACGGTTCGTGAGGAGTTTTATGTTCTCGTGTGATCGGGGGTGGTGGTGGTAGTGCATTCTATCCAAATACTTGGATCGTCTCTTCCCTTGTCCTCGCGATCCATTTAGAATTTTTGAGAAAGAAATAATACGTGGTATGGAGGGACAAGTCAAGTGTTTTAACTTCGTGCCTTCTATCCCTAATGCGCCTCGACTTTCCATGACACGGTAATGAGAGGATATTTCTCCAACCTCACATTGCATTAGACTACTCCTAGCCAGCAGGAGGAAACATTTCAATCTCCAAATCCCATCTCACATCTTCCTGGGCACAAACTTAAGCGGACAAGGCCCCAACTTTACAGTGAAGTAATCCTTCCACTCATCCCGGAACACCTTATCATCGTAAGACTCGCCAAGTTGGACTTGGAACCTCTGAATAACCCTCGCCGTGGCGGTTCGCATTTCGTTCATTGCGAGAGGACGTCCGATACATGAGTGCGCACCACTGTTATGTCGCTCATTAGGTATTAGTGTGTATGGAAGGTGGGGAGGACATACAATCCAAAAGCAATAAAGGCTCTTTTATCCTGAACCAGCTCCGGCATTTCGGGTGTCCACCTCTCCGGAAGGAATTCATCGGGTCGGGGAAAGTATCTTGGGTCTAGTTGTTGTTAGACCTGGAATACCTTTCGATGTATGAGTGGAAGGAAGGGGGACTAACCGGACAGCATCGTCATGTGAGGGATTCGAACCTCCACGTTTCCGGGGACGAATGTGCCTGCGATGGTATATCCGCTTGGCGGGGTAGTAGCTTGAGGACCCGATGGCGCAGCCGGCCACATACGTAGGGATTCTTGCACTGCGCCGTTAAGGAATGGAAGGGCTGCTGTGGTAGCACATGTGGGGGTTTCGCCGTTGGGGAAGGCCTCGATAATTTCCTCGTACAGTTTCTGCTGCTTCTCCGGGTGCATGGAAAGAAGCCTGAATAGGCACGTAAGAGTTACGGATGTTGTGTCTAGCGGATATTTTAGCAGGTTTGATCTCATATATGGAGGGTAATTTGCGAAGTAGTATTTGACTACAGACCTGAGCCTGCTACCATCAGCATCTGGGCGTTTGTCAGAAGCTGGGCCTGAGTGAAGTTCACGCCACTCTCTTTGTCTTCGTTGAGGAGGTGAGTGAATATATCTTGACGGAATTTTCCCATTCTCTGCCGGGCCCCGAGCATCTTCTCGCCCAACTTATTGAACTCTTTGCTTTCAGAGTCTTGGGGAATATAAGCCCCGAGTTCACCTGTCATATTCGGTTAGTTGGAGTAGGGAGGCTGTGGATTGGGAAGCCAACATAGGTTTCTTAACGAAGTTAGGACCTAACGGGGTTAGTCAAAAACCCTTTCCCACAGTGTTTCCTTTGGAGCATAGAGGTTGAATCTTACAGTGGAGGCACGCATCCAACCGTGCAAAAAGTCCATATATGAGGGATCGCCAGCTCCACTCTGCATCGATTCTTCCGGCTTCTGGCCAAATCCAAGATCTGCCATGCTACCCAGCTGTTAGCACAATACCCAAAGCAACATACCGCAACCATGGGGAACTTACACATCAAAAGCCATATTGTCATAAATATTCACGGAGTTAGTCTCTTCGCCCTTGAGCTTCTCGAGAATCGAAATCATCTTATCGACATGATATTCTACCCGGGGGCTAAAAATAAAATAAAGTAGAGTACCGTGAGA